CGTGATGCTGACTCCTAGTCTCAGTTGTGACCTCGCATAGCGCGCAGAGGGAGCGGAGAACTCCAGAATATCTGTCGTTGGTTTCTATTTACTTGCGGACCCCTCGGAACCAGTTTGTTTGAGCGTACCTTTTTAGGGTAAGTTAGCCTGTGACCACGGGAATCGACCGCGTCGAGTGTTGGATCAGTACGGACATATGAAGGTACTGGGTAGAGAGAGATCGGAACGGTTTTTAATGTGGAGACAACAACAACAACAACAACAACAACAATGATGAAGGTCGACCCGTCCTGCGTCGTTCGGTGTAAAATGATAAATATATGCGAAAGATGGACTGCGTAAAGATCCAGCGGTCTTTTCCGGCAGTGGCAAAGAAACATGCAACCACATGCCGCAAAAAAACAAAAGTTGAGCGGGATACTGTCGTAAACAGAACACCGCCTTCTCTGTTGTTGCAGGCAGGTTTGCTTCCACAACCCGGGAGCCCAACCCACTCTTGTATTTCGGCCTACAAGACTCCAATCGACACAAGCACCGGTAGGTGGGTGCGTGGGAGATGCCGTGACAGCACAACTCCACTCTCGTACGACATCTATATACGGTAGTACTGCTGTTGCTGCACCATGTGCAAGATCTCCGAGGGGTCCTCCTGCGCGGTAACGACAGCATGGCGACAGCTCTACGTGTACCTGTCGTCGACACATGTGGCAGCCGCACGACGCACGAACGGATATTTGCATCGCATTGTACTATGGTTCGCCGTGGCAGGAAGTATCCCATCTAGTTAGGTCGTTTCGGTAGTACGCGGACGTCGATCGGCGTCTATTGTAGTCCATCCTGTTTGTTGCAAAACACAGCAGTAATCGAGCTATTTTTTGCTCTGGTTCACTTTAGCCTCCACAACCCGAGAATCCCACTGCTGTTTCTCGACCTACAACACTCCAATCAACAAACCAGCCCTGGCAGAGGTGCGTGGAAGATGTTGTGACAGCACAACTAAGTCGACACTCGTATGACTTCTATGTACAGTCGGCGTCTGGTCCATACTGCTGTGGAAATACAAAAATCGAGCCAGGGCGCACAAAAAAAAAATATCCGACACCTAAAAGGGTCGTTTTATACATTCCAAATTTTTGTTCAAATGTACAAATATTCCGAAAATCTGGACATTGTACGGAGGCGTTTGTCCAAATATATTCAAAAAATCCGGAACGAACCTGGGCCCGAAAATTTGTACCCACTAGCTTCCAAATTTCCAAAAAATGTCCAAATTTTCCAGCATACTGGCGGCATCGGTCCTACAACCCCCTGTCAAGGGTGCCACAGGCCGTACCACAAGGGCTAGAAAACAGCAGATCTAGCTGAGATGTTGTCTGAGTTATGGCGGACGGCAGCAAACGTGGTGAGACTCCTGTTGCGGTGTTTTTTTCTCGACGGGGCAGCGCGCGCCTGCCCATGTCCGATCGAGAGGAAATAATGCTCCTGACGAGGTGCACCTAGCAGCTATCTCACCACGACAGCAGGGCTGAGCACAGGGGTGGTCATGTCGATGCTCGGTCATGGCCTTGTTCCCAAGACGCAGCAGACTGCTGTCGTGCCGCGGCGCCTAAATGGGGACGAGCAAATACTTCCGTGCTTCCTTGCGGACATCTGTAGGCGGCGACACTCTCGAGGATGGAGGTACGCATCGATGAACGAGTACGCGTTCAACTGGAGCCGCTGGCACATACCCTGAGCACAAGGACGAGTCTACCAGGCAAGTGGGAAGAGATGGGAGGCAGACGGGCATGCCCTGTTCGTCTCCAGTAACCCGTTTGCACTTTGGTTCCCCGCCCTCTGCTATTATTCTACTGCTGCAGTGACCCGCTCTTTTTCCTGTCTTGTGCTGTGGTGAACCGATGCGCATATCTGCTCCTGTTTATGCATACACCATGCATCCATCCTTTGAATATCCGCCCGCTGTCACGCTGGCTGGAAATTGCAACCTCTTCTACTGAGGCTCAAACTTTGTACAAGTACCTGGGTCCATCAGTTTTTCGGTGTCTTACTGCTGTAGTTCTTTTAGACTCCATGTGTTTCTGTATTCGGTGTTGTTGCTCATCGAACACGGCTGGCTGCTGTGCTGTGGCATCGCATCATGTGCAGGAACATGCGACGGCATTGGCGCGCTGTCGAAGATTCGTGCGCCCTGCCTACTTGTTGTGGCGGATATGGTCGAGAGCTTCATACTTCGACCTCACCGTGCGATTGACTTTGCGGAGGAGCTGACCTTCGTGTCCCGTGGCACCAACGACGAAACCGTTCTATGCACGCCTAGCCGGCGGACCTACTGCTGCTTGCTGTGGAGGTATGTGCGGCATCTACACACACTGATGTGACGCCTCTTCAGCCAACTGCTGTCAGCGTTGCTGTAAACGAACGCGTGAAATTGCCCGTAACAGCAGCAAAAGGGTCAGTTGGGTCTGTATTGGCGTGGGCACAGCACCAGCAGTATCGTAGCGTTCGTTTGCGGCGATGTACTGTAGATTCGAACCACGCCACTGGTTGTAGATCTAGATCGCTCCTGGACTGCTTGTAGCCCGTTGAGTCGACTCCAGAGGCGGAGCTTGCGTTGGAGCTGCAACCTAGGTAGGGGTGAAAGTATTGCGTGTTTCGGCAAACCCTGTGGAGCATTGTCGGAAGGAAGGGGTTTGAAGCAGACAACCAACTTGAGACAACCGTCCTCTTTAGCAACGCCGTTTTAGCGCTGACTCGATTGGACATGAAACGCTTTTTTGGGCGCGGGTTTCCCACTCATTTTTCAATGGCAGTCTTTCTGTGCGTGTATTTATTTTTCCTTGATATCCTACCTGAAGTACACATTTCAGGGACAGCGTGCATATTGGCGACCTGATCGATGGTTGGGACTGCCTGAAGCAACTGCCAACAAATCCGCAACTTGGACCAAACGAAATGTCCTGGCCGTGGTGTCTGTGGAAGCGAGTACATGAGTGACACAGGTTGACTTAGGTACCCCGTCCGGAACCCAATTTGTTTCGCGGTGTTTCGGTACTGGTTTGTGCTGTTTAATTTGACTCGTAGGTTATCTTTCGACCTGAGTCACAAACCCAAAGAAGTTGAGAATTCAATATTGTCTGCAAGGGCTTCAACCCTTCCCTTCCAACACCCTAGACCCACCTACAACAACAGATACCGGCTATTCCCGCGTGTGCCTCCCGAAACCGTCTATCGAAAAAAAGGCCGAAAACACCGCGGGGTTTCCATTCGGGATTTGGTATAAGTACCTGGTACTACTTCGAGTAACGTATGGTGCAGGACATGAAGTGGGACGAGGGGTGCTTCCCGAGACGCTACGCTAACTGAAGAGAAACAGTAACAACGAGGCGTCGCCGTCATCCCCCCAACCCTCTTCACCCACCCCTTACCCCAGCCGTGTGCCTCCTGCGAGTATTTATTTTGTTATTGCGACATTAATTTGTTCGGGACAAATATTGATAATGCTCCTTTCGTGCGGTGGGTCCTGGGTTGTGAGTTGGATGCATGGCATCAGCTACCCGGAACCCAACTGTTGTGTTGTTATCTTGCCCCTGCGAATTTCGTCTTCATCTAATGCTTAAGGCGAGCATCCAACGATGCGTTGCCGACTAAACATCAAGAACACTGGCATGGATAAGCGAGCGGGGTCCGGCGAAGTCGACACGCCCATGACGATGACGATACTGCTTGACGAACAGCGTGGATACCGTCCGGACACAACCTGGTCCGGGCTAGGAAATGATTTGGTCGGGCGGGCGGGGAATGTTGCGTGGACGTGCTGCCTCGAGGAGACTGTAGATTTGGGATCGTGGGCAGGGGGTAGAGGAGCCCTGGCTTGGGCTGGGTCGGTGACGGCGGAGGGCGACAGGAGCTTGTGTATTTGCTGTGCGGGGGGGGGTGCTGTTGTCTAGGTTGGGACCAAGGGGGTCATCAGCGAGAGGGAGGCGGTGGACGAACGAGGGATTGTCGGGTTGGGTTGCGCCATTTCGACAAGCACACACTGGCCGCTACACGGACAAGGGCAGCGAGAACGTTTCGGTAGGCGGTCTTCCATTTGGAGTTGATTTTTGTTTGCTGTCTTCTTCATGGAGAGGTGCTGTGTAAGGTTTTCTTATGTCTTAACACCAGCCCTTATCACAAAACGCTGAAGGTGTACGTGGCAGACAAATATCCCCTGCGATGTGCGCTCGCAGCCTTTGCGCTTGGTGTCTTTGCTTGGTTTTTTGTTGTTCCTGTTCTCAGTGTGCTGCTGCAAAGCACCGGGTAGAGGTGCTTGCCTATACGACGGTTTTGTGGCTTGGTGTGCTCATTCAATGAATAAAAGCGAATAGGTTGTGCGGATCGCATGCAGATCACGAGCGTTCTTGGTGATGTCGTGATAGCACACCCCCCACACTAAATTTATGTTTGAAGGGGTTATTGTTGCGGAATGAGGACTGCCACTCTACGGAGGTGAATGAAACGATGAAGATGCCGGGAGAAATGCCTCGGGCATTGGCCAACCGCGTAAGAAAAAAACTATAATGCCCCAGGGCGAACTCAAAGTTTTGAGCTTCGGCGAGTTTTTTGGGGGGGAGATTATCATGGAGGGGGGTGCTCTGTACGGCAAGTGACGTGCTAGACCGCACGAAATAGCTCAAGCTCCTGTGGGGAGGTGGCGTTTGTAGTTTACACACCACGAACAACTAAATGTTGGGGATCTTATTCACGTGGAAGAATGCGTTTGACTCTTCATTCAAGCAAAGTGCAGCATACCATGACCACCGCAGCATGACTAGTGCGATCTTCCTGAAAATCACGCACGTGGCAGATCGCCCCAAAGAAGGAGCCCACGTGAAAACGACATACACAAGGAACCACACACGTCGCCACGCTGACTGGCCCTTCGTCAAGCGTCCTACTACACGAAAAAATAAAATGCCGGGCATGGGGTGTCAGGCCGAAGTGTATTTTGGAGCATCGGCTCAGCTCTCTTTCCTGTTACCCCCAGTACGAACGCATGCCACAAAAATATTTGCACCTATGTCAGCAAGGTGCCATTCAATTCTCACGCAATGCTTGGTTCCTGAAGAGAAACTTTGCCTACAAATATTTATTGCGTATAGCACGACAACGCAAATTACGAATGCTTTGCTTCGTCTTTGAAAACAAGTACACACGCTACCATTTTACGAGTGGCGAGGAACAAGAAAAAAAAAGGCGTAGTTGCCACCGTACCGTCCCCGCCGTCCTTTCAAACCAGCAATGGCCATGTGCGTGGGCCTTCCAGGAACCACACCGACATGCATAACCAAGTAAGAATGCGAGGGACGCCAAAACCCGAACGTATCGAAAGCACGTTGAAGTTGTGCTAAACAAATGCGTCCCAGAAAATATTTCGCCATCATGCAGGCACGCCATCTGGATCACCCCTAGAACAACAAGCCCCCCTTGTATCCCCCCACGCAATTCCTGCTCGCTCTCATCCCTCCCTCATGCTGCGAGATATCCCCCCACCGCTCCGTCAACCTGCGGCATTTTTTACCATAGCAAAAATATGTGAGAAGGGCGATCGGGGGGAGGTCAGCTGGGTAAAAAAGGCACGGCAACTTTGCTGCTGTACAACTTTGTTTTTTCTTTCTGGTGCCCCGATCTGCCACTTCGTTTCGCAAGCACTGATGGGACAGCTCAGAAAAGGCGTTCCTTCTTACTGATATAAGCGGAGAATGACGCTAAGATGTGATCGTGCAACCTCGTTCTGTTGCAGGAAGGAAATCAAAGGGGTTGCCTGAATCGATTTTGGCTTTCGGGGAGAGGTTTGGTTACCCTTTGATAGTTGGGGCATCACCTTCACTATTTCGTTCTTGAAAGTAGTAGTCGGTGACCCATTTCTCCGCGCTGTATCCTGGTTGCCGAGCTCTGCTTTCGCGCCAGCTGCGTCCCTTGCTCTCGGCAACGTCTTTCTTCTGCCAGTCATCTACTCCGTCACGCGAGGAACGTAATTTTGTTCATCTTCTTCTAGCTTTATGAGGTGCGGTCGCCGACTGCAGCGGCATTTCGCCTTGATGGCGCAAAAAAGAAGTGGCAACGGTGCGGGACGCTCAGTCAAATATTGCATTGTAGCAGAGTCGCACCCCAGAAATCTGGCGAGTGCAGGCGAGCAGAGAGCGGTAAGTCTAGGTAAACACGTACCAGTTTTTTCTCGCGTCCTGGTCAGGCATATTCGGTGTCGGCAACGTCGGAGGGGTGATGGGGTGTAATCCGACAAAAGCGTTGTATTCGTACAATACAATCCACACTTTGTCTCACAAGGACCGCTGGCAGAAAATGGCTGTTGCTATACTTCTAGACGAACACGCCACAACGCATGAGCGCAAAAAATGCTGCACATGGTATGCATGTCACTACAAAAGATAAACGATATACCACTGCTGCCGACTTGACCGACGGATTGCAGCAGGTTTCGGCGATACTACTGCTGTATCCGCGACAGCCAGAAAAGTAGACGGCGTGTCGTATATTTTGTAGGTAATAGAACACAAGTACTCTCGGCATGTATTTGCCCACACGCAAAAAGTACAGACATGCAGCGGTGGATCACAAATTAGGTACAGCACCTGCGTGGCACCAGCATGTTTTGATGTGTATTTAAGAGGACACATGTGGGTGCAGCAGCTTGTACCATGAATACCACCTGGCACATGCTTCGACTTGCAGTGCGAGACAAAGAGTTGGGGGTGGCGCGGGTGCGAGCGAGTGCGGTGAGACAACAGAGAGGGGACGAGAGCGAGACACACACACACACACCAGGCGGCGTATACAGAAAACACGCTTCTCACAGACCTGCTGCTGTAACCTCGAGGCCCGAGACATGATGGCTTCTACTTTCAACAACCTGGCTGGCTCTATCCAGCAAGTAGGACATGCTCTTGGTATCGTGTTGCTTCGCGCTTCGCCTTGGCCCGGGGTGTTGCCTGGCGCCGAGCAGGGAAAACTGCATGCGGCTGGACCTACAGCAGCGCCATTATCCGCCCTGTCTGCTGAATCCAGACGGGACTTGCCCTTGGTGACCACCAACCCCATCTTTGTTGGGCCCTACCATGGTATTGCGCGTGTGGGGTCGTTGTCTGTGGAGTGCGGGGTGTGGTTGAAGGGGCACGCCCTCTCGCCATCACATGCGGCGAGATTTATTTGGAAAGTTGCCTTGCAGCGTGTATAAAATGAAAGTGTTGGTTCCAAATATTTGGACCCAAATTTCCAGAAATTTTGGACAAAAAATTTGGAATGTATAAAACGCCCCTAACCCTACCTACACGACGGCAAAGGTGACGACAAAGAAGAAATCGCGTGCAGGCCCATATGCTACAATTGGTATCTCCTTTGCAACTGGGCGGGACGGAGTAATATCGTGGTCGTTTACTGTTGCTTGAAGGTTTGACACACCTATATTAGATCCGAGGACGGAGGAATGAAAATACAATGTAATTTTGGAACTTTGGCCAATAGTGCTACGTAGTACACCGTGTCGTATTCACCGTGTCGTATTCACTTGTTCAATCATTTTCTGGTGCAGCCTTGCCACACTGTGAACGAGAAATGAGGAGATCCATCCGGTGATTGTGATGGGTCGTGAAGACATTGCCAGATGGTATGACGGCCTACTGTAGTCCCCATTCCTACGACATCGTGACATCACCCGCGGCAGGTGGCAGATAGTGCCGACGAAGGGCACGAGACTAAACTACAAAAATGCTTCCCTGGCCGAGGTGAAGTAAACATGGCCGCCAAATGTTATAAATATTTTGCTTCGAAATCAACCCACGAGTACTACTCCATGTGCAGCACTGATTAAAGACCAACACGCGCGTAAACCCTACCATCTACAACACCAGCATACCTTAACCTACCCTAAACCACCAAATCATTTCATTATCTCTCCAAAACCTCGCAAAGCATCCAAATTAACTGTATGCGAACATCACCAACACTCTAGAACGCACGTACAGCAGTGAGCACCTTTCTTTCCCGATCCAAGCCCTCCTCCCCCGAGCGGGAAATTCGTAACCTTCACCATACTTCATGGCAGCAGTGACAACCAACGACAAGAGACGAGAGATCGAATTCCAATGAACAACACACGACACAAGTAACACCCATGAGCATGCACCCCCTTCCCCCAAGACACCGCCGGGTTGGATTGGAGTCGATGACCCGATCGGGCATCAAATATCACAACGTGCCTGCAACATCACCCGAAAATTACGTCAAGATCACAACACAATCACAAGAGGAGCACGAGTGCGTCTACCCCGTTCACATACATCTTGCCTTGGAAAGGCAGGAACTCAGCAGCTCTTCCAACAGCCCATCACTGAGGTGCATCTATGTACCTCCCACCACGACCAAAATGAATTCATTACAACAAGCACACAACGCTTCTGGCGTTTACCACGGTTATGACGTTTACCACGGTGCGCTTACACCACGACAGGGATAAAACGGTGTACAT